ATTACATCCCGTCAGTTGGTGTAACTGACGATATCCCAGGGGAGTGTAAAGGATTACACACAACTATGTGCATCCATACATGTACATGCACACACCACACAGTCCATTTATACATATCAGAACCAGTGCTGGTGCTACTACTGCATAATAACACCACCACACTCCATCCCTCTGTTCCTAAATGACCTGAGCAGTAATAGTCCTCCCGTGCAACTGTGGCAGGGTGAGAGAACAAATCAATGACAAGGCTAAGCTACTGTGCTACACGGATTAGCAACAGCACCTCAACTGAACTAGCCGAGCTCCAGCTACTCTGGATGAGGTCGAGGATAGATAGGATTAAAGGGAATAAACCTAGTGGCAAAATGAAGGCTGAGAGCAACTGGGCCAAGAATGCTGAGAGGGGAAATGACAGATTTACAATCACCTACATTCACCACATAACCTGAGAAATATGCTAATAGGTTTGAGTTCAGCATAACAACATGAAGCTAGGAGTAGACAGGATCTATTTTGATACATTAAATCATGTTAATGTTTTAACATAAAATATATGTTAAGAGACTATAAGAGATTATTCTGACCACTTCACTCAGCTATTACAGTCAAACTCACATTTGTACACATTTATGTACAAAAGTGTTACACATAACTGTAACCCAGTCAGGATCACTACAGGACAATATTGTTGTTATATCATCTAATTTAATATTAGAGTGATATATAGTCATATTTCCATACTAGTTTGGTATAAGAATTGCATTTAAAATTATTTAGAGAAAAAGACTCTATAGTACTTGAGAAAACTGAGTAAACAAACATCTCTACTACGTCGCTGTGTGTAGAGCTGGGCCGGACAGTGAACTGAAATGCCATAATGGATACAACAGATGTGAGAGGTGCAAGTTGGTCCAAATGACAATACCGAGACAATCTTTTTCCTGGATGCCTCACCGACACTCACAGGCAGGCAAAGATCTCAAGAAAGAGGGGAAACTAAATATGGTGACATCCTGAGTGGCCTCAGGAAATAAACAGTGATCCTGATCTATTACTGTCTCAATAATATACAAGCCCTGTGGAATACAAGCTGCTATGCTGAATGTGCTGAACTGTAACAAATGGCCATATCTTTAAGAGACACCCATATCAGCATAGAAAATCTTGTTGTATTTATTTCTTAAAAATAGGCAGGACAGCACTATATCTGGAATTTCATAGGAGCCTTCTACCATATCGTATTCTGTTGCTGGCACCAGAAATTGCTGAATGAGGAGGCACCAAAAATGTCATGATCCTTTCTGCAGTTCCACAGAATTCAAAGTTGAACTATAACTTGACTCGGTAGTGATACAGGAGACTCTTGAATGGCATGACAGAGAACAATCTTTGATGAAATAGCTTATTAGCAATTAACAAAATATAAGTAATGGTAAAAACAGGATTTCATTTGTGGTAACTATCACAAATGTGACCTCAATGCCCACGTTATGATAGTCTAAATTCTATCTACAAGCAAAATTTTTAAATATTACTTTATGTACTGAATTGTTCAGCACCAATTTTGTTTTACAGCATTTGCATTTATAGGTTATATATTCTATAGTAAAGTTTATTTAAACTCTTAAATTATGTGTTCCACTATTCTGGAACATAGGTTCCTCTTATACCTCTTCCTAGATCATACTGACTTTTGCATTTCTCTCAAGGAAAGGATTGCCAGTAAGATATTCATCTCTTTGAAAAACCACTGACTTTCATTGCACTGATATAGACAATGGCTCTTAATCACCCACACAAAGACAAGATTAAAAAAAAAAACTGGTTTGTTATAAAACCTGTCATTAAAAAAAATTAAATAAAATGAGACCAAGTCATCACTGGCCTTCAGTTACACAAATGCCATTTAGAAAAAGGCAATTTTATTTGAACCACTATGAAATTTTACTTGTGTTATGGAAACTAAAGGATCAAATGATGGCACAACATACTTGTTTACATTAGTCTTTCAGCCTCAAAAATTTAATCTTGTGCTGCTGCTGGATGAAACACACTACAACATGCCTTCAGTGAGTATTGGTTTTGAACATTAGTGGAAATTCCATTTTGATAATAACTATAGGCATAAGCCAGTGTGTTAAAAATGAGAGAGATGGGCCCATTTGACCAAAAGTACTGATTGTACCTGAGAATCGAGGTGGGGAAGTGTCCTGCCCCTGACTGACATAAAACATTCCTCAGTGAATTTCAGTTCCTGTGGCTGAGACAATGAAAAGCCACCAGCCCTATGAGTGCATCTATGGGATGAACGCCATTCAGATGCCACGGTTTAATTATACATCTATGTCTTTATGAAAGGCACACGTATACGGATGTACTCAACCTTTTTGTGGTGCATAAATACCGGTCACTAATGAAACAGGAGTGTCGATGGCAGTGTTTGTGCACCTTTTAACGTTAAGATAAACACCTTCAGGTTGCTCTCCACTAACGACACCATTTTCTTAACTATCCTTTTAACAAACATGACGGGCAGACAGCCAAGTTGCCACGCAGTAGTGTACAGCGTATGAAAATTAAGTAATGGTGGTTCTAATTGTTGAATCGGGTTTAATGCAACATTGTCATATTAAAATTAGAACTCCATGCATTGTTTTTGTCGGGACAGCTGAGCCCATGAGCACGACTGAAGCAAAGCTGCAACTCGTTGACTTACCCGACTAAACCAGATGCTGAGCTGTGTCTCTGACAGCACGGCAAAGTAAAACCTCTGAGAGCTGGGCTGGATGTGGAAGGGCTCTTCTTCACTCCTCAGCGGACAAAGCAGCCTCCTGGGCCAGCCGGTTAAGAAATACATGACAGCAAACTCACTCCGGATCGGCACTTTTAACAGTGTCGCAATGCCAGATAGTCGGCGCTCCTTGTTCCTCCTAAGGTATTCTTACACCAAGTGGCTCATTGACATTCTTTCCGTGGATAGAAAAACTTTACATATGTACATGCAGTCCGGCGTTTACAGTGGCCAGGCTAGCAATCCATGGACACCATATAAAAAGATCCTGGCAGCCGACGGATATACACAGCTAGCCCCGGCTAGAATTGGCCAACTTGAAGCTAACGAGCTGTCCGAGGCAACCGCAGCGTAACCGAAAACAAAAGCAAACAGGCCCGCCCCGACACCATAAAGCATCAAATAGCTTGCTGCGGCCGACAAATGGGAGGATTAACTTTCGCTCCCGCTGCCCTATCAATGGGTACGCTGTCGAGTCCAGCGATGTTTTATAAGGATAAAGCGTCCAGTTTTCACTCCTCTCTGCCTCACCGTCGCCATCTTTACAAGAGTCTCTGTGACTCAAAACTGATTGGCCACGACAGCGAACTTTGTGTTCTGTTGACATCTGACGTCATCTCTCCTTTACGTGAAACTACACTGTTGCGTCGAAGGCAACATGGCTCGATATCGACATCTGGCGGTCCAGCAGTGAAATGTCCTCAACGAAAAAAATGCCTAACTAAATACAGCACACAGAAATTGCAGGAAAACGAACACTCATCTAACCGTCTGTTCGTCCCAAAAAAGAAAACTATCCACCAGTCTATGTAAAACACATAATTACTTAAGTCGTGCTGCAATGTGTCACCAACAAATTTAGTACAATAATATATAAGCACTGTATTGAACGAGGAATTCCATTCAAACATCGTTAATAGGTACTGTACGTATTTGTGTTATTTGCAGGGGATGCATTTTCGGTGGACTTCACAATTGTGAAATTTCTGCTGCACTTAAGGTTCCTAAGAGCACAGTGGCCTCCATAATCCTTAAATGGAAGACGTTTGGGACGACCAGAACCCTTCCTAGAGCTGGCCGTCCGGCCAAACTGAGCTATCGGGGGAGAAGAGCCTTGGTGAGAGAGGTACAGAAGAACCCAAAGATGACTGTGGCTGAGCTCCAGAGATGCAGTCGGGAGATGGGAGCAAGTTGTAGAAAGTCAACCATCACTGCAGCCCTCCACCAGTCGGGGCTTTATGGCAGAGTGGCCCGACGGAAGCCTCTCCTCCGTGCAAGACACATGAAAGCCCGCATGGAGTTTGCTCAAAAACACCTGAAGGACTCCAAGATGGTGAGAAATAAGATTCTCTGGTCTGATGAGACCAAGATAGAACTTTTTGGCCTTAATTCTAAGTGGTATGTGTGGAGAAAACCAGGCACTGTTCATCACCTGTCCAATACAGTCCCAACAGTGAAGCATGGTGGTGGCAGCATCATGCTATGGGGGTGTTTTTCAGCTGCAGGGGCAGGACGACTGGTTGCAATCGAGGGAAGGATGAATACACAGAGGTATCCTGGACGAAAACCTTCTCCAGAGTGCTCAGGACCTCAGACTGGGCTGAAGGTTCACCTTCCAACAAGACAATGACCCTAAGCACACAGCTAAAATAACGGAGTGGCTTCACAACAACTCCGTGACTGTTCTTGAATGGACCAGCCAGAGCCCTGACTTAAACCCAATTGAGCATCTCTGGAGAGACCTGAAAATGGCTGTCCACCAACGTTTACCATCCCACCTGACAGAACTGGAGAGGATCTGCAAGGAGGAATGGCAGAGGATCCCCAAATGCAGGTGTGAAAAACTTGTTGCATCATTCCCAAAAAGACTCATGGCTGTATTAGATCAAAAGGGTGCTTCTACTAAATACTGAGCAAAGGGTCTGAATACTTATGACCATGTGATATTTCAGTTTTTATTTAATAAATCTGCAAAAATGTCAAATTCTGTGTTTTTCTGTCAATATGGGGTGTTGTGTGTACATTGAGGAAAAAAGTGAACTTAATTGATTTTAGCATATGGTTGCAATATAACAAAGAGTGAAAAATTTAAGGGGGTATGAATACTTTCCGCACCCACTGTATACCGGGAATCATATTTTTTAATTTACAAGAGCAAGCAATAGGTGGCGGTAATGCCGTTATATGTAAAGAAGAAGAAGAAATGAAGGCGCAGTAGTAGTGTTTTGCATCTATACTGTCGCACCAAAGAAGAAGAAGAAGAAGAAGCAGCTTGCTACCTATCTATCCATGCTAAAGTGGCTACAGAGGATTTTTCATTTCTCATACGTTGCTGAACTTGTAAGACAGTTTTAAAATTGTTAATAACGTCAGGCAGAAAAGAAACAACAGACTAATAGACCAGGAGGTATCAGTAAAACACGTATAGTTGTTTGTTTCTGCAAGACAGGGAAGATAAAGAAGAACTAACTAAAGTAGCATGGCTGCGGACATGCGATTACCAACTATTCGAAAAACAGTGTCGCTGTCAGTTTCTGCTTTCGACCGAAAAGATCTGGTCGTCCCCGGCGATGTAATCACGTCAGATACAGGTTTTATGAGGTAGGTACCGGGTGATATGTTGGTTTTCCTTCTTTGTCACAGATGATACAGATCAGTCTGCTTCGTCCAACAGCTCCACTGAGTACAGTAAAAGCTCCTAGTTTTTCTTTACCCACACTTTTAGGCCGGCATATAGGCCTGTCTGATCTAAGTTAAATGGTAACAAGGACTCGTGACGGGAAAAGAATCATAATGTAATCCTTTAAAATTGTGTCTGTATTGTTTAATAATTACTGCCCGGAGGTCACAGTTAACCCACCTTTTTCTTTAACGTTACCACATTCCTGTTTGGCTGTATCACTCATTAGCAGCACTACATGCTATTTATCACCAGGGGCCATGGTACCTATGTTGATGAAGACAAGCTGACGGCTTCAGTCGCTGGAGAGGTGCAGAGAGTGGACAAGCTGATCTGCGTCAGACCACTTAAGACCAGGTAAGTGATTAAATTTTACCATGCACATCAAAAGGTCAGGTGTGCCTAGTGGTACTGAATTGACACGTGTATGGATTTTAATTGGTTTAAGTATGGCTTTTACAGGAGTTATAAATGTTTGGCGTTGTATTTTATTGAAATGCAGGTTCAATGGTGAAGTTGGAGATGTGGTGGTTGGCAGAATTACAGAGGTAAGGCACACCCTCCGTGCCTTTTCTCCTGTGTGTCTGACAAAATGTATGGTTTTAGCAAGCTGTTGTCATTTCTGTCAGTAAGGATTTGTTTTTTGAATATGTGTCTTTTTTTGTGAAATGTATAGGTACAACAGAAGCGATGGAAAGTGGAGACCAACTCCCGGCTGGACTCTGTCCTGTTGTTGTCTTCTGTCAACCTACCTGGAGGAGAGCTGGTGAGATGCTGGAAAATATGATTCACTGGAGGATGAGTCCTGTGTATTACACTGTTAGCTGAACTAGCATTATCTCGAAGGACAGCGAAATGGGTTTTTAACTTGTACTGTTGTTCAAAATCTTTTGTTTGATTTTGTTTTCTAGAGGAGAAGATCAGCAGAGGATGAGCTCACCATGAGAGAATACCTTCAAGAGGGCGATCTCATTAGTGTAACTCACAGTTTACTATAATCACTGATGGATTGGCTGGTCTTATTTGTCATGCATAATATCTGTGTTGGTTGTGTCTCATGCTTATAGGCAGAGGTGCAGTCTGTCTTCTCAGATGGAGCTCTATCGCTTCACACCCGCAGTTTAAAGTATGGAAAAGTAAGTTATGGTAGTGTACATACTAACATGTGCTTATACACCCAAATCATGGTTTAGTCCAGGACTAACCTTTTCTTGCTTCAGTGCTTCATTGAGTACACATTACATGCTACTATATAATCAGGAAATGATTCACTCAGCAGTTACACTCTGAGTAGCAAATGGTAACAAATGTTTAAGTATGTAATGTCAACGCCCAATGGGTAACTATTTAGTAACCTTTCTCCTTTTATTGCTGGCTCATTTGATGTAAAAATAAAATTAACAATTATATGATTGAACAAATACAGGAAGTGAGTATTATTATTATTATTCATTCCTATGCAATATATCACAGACAGAATACCACATAGATTTTGCTCTATGGTATGTATAATTACATTTTTGCATTACAAAACTTAGTTGTAAATATTGCTATATGAGCTTAATTCTTTTTAATCTTTCCTAAATTTGGCCTAATGTACTGTTTTACTTTGTCTGATCATCAGTTGGGTCAAGGAGTGTTGGTACAGCTTTCTCCTTCTTTGATCAAGAGGCAGAAAACACATTTCCACAACTTGCCGTGTGGTGCATCCATCATCCTCGGGAATAACGGCTTTGTGTGGCTGTATCCTACACCGGGACAACAGGAGGAGGAGGCTGGGGGCTTCTACACCAGTTTGGAGGTGCATTCTGGATTCACAAGTGCAGTATTTCATAGATTAACTTGTCATTGTATTTAGATTATGACACTAACAGTACAGCATTTTGGAGGTGGGAATAGAATCATTTAAAGACTTTATTGATATCCACAATTTAGTTAAGAGGTTTGCTGATTGAATATCTTCAGAGTACAATATATAAATAACCTTTCTCTGTCCTCTCAGCCTGTTAGCCTGTCAGATCGAGAGGTGATTTCACGGTTGAGAAACTGCCTACTAGCTTTGGCTGCACACAAGGTCCTTCTGTATGACACCAGTGTTCTCTATTGCTATGAATCTTCACTGCAACACCAGGTAGGAGCAATCAGGTGCAATGTGATTCACTGGAAAGACATTCATTTGTTTTTGAATCAAACTAAATGCATCACAAACGTAAATCAATGGGAATGAAAAGCTATTTCAATAGAAAAGTGGACTGTTGTGTTATGATGTGGCTTCTGGTGGCCGTATTGAAATCCACAGCTCCGGTAATAGTTTTAGTTAGTTGTTAATATAGACATTGATTTTTAAGGTTTTCTTGGCTGCTGATTAGCTTAACTAATCAAACCCACCCATTTATGGGTTACAGAGTATTCTCCTCTCACGCTGTGACTTATAGTGCACTGCAATAGAACTTGGTGCTAAAGACACTGTCTCTCATTAGCCTCAGTAACAAAAAAACTAAAATATGTTTACTGTTCATAGGTGTGCTTAGACCCCTTTTACTGGGGCACATGCCCTAATATAGATCTGCCGCTCTCAACTGTGTGATTCGAGTAATGGGGGCCTGTGCCCCAGTAGAGCTTTATGTCTAGCAACACCCCTGTTACTGTTAAAAGTGAAATAATTGAAGGAGCTTCTGCATTCACAACTGAGCATAAATATGCATTATGTATCATTCTGCTGATTTATTTTTATTGTAAGTTCTTTGTTTACATTTTGTTAATAAAACTCTTGTTGTGTAACTATTGTTGACCACAATCCATAAGATTTTGTAGTGTTTAAATTACATATTTCTTTCAGTGTAGCTGATCTGCAACTCCCTACTTTATGCTGTCTCTACAGGTAAAGGACATCTTGAAGCCAGAAGTGATGGAGGAGATTGTATTGTTGACTCAACAGAAGCTGCTGGAACAGGAAGGATAAAGAGCACAAATTCTAACTGTGATCTTGTCACACAACCATCTACTGTAAAAACAATGGACAGGCTAAGAGCTCCCAGAAGTGAAGCCACCATGACTCAATCGCCCCCTGGTGGCTGGTTGTAGTGTAGGTCATAAATCCTGCCTCCTCCATGTTAGTGAATGGGACATGAGTCACTAAAATTAAACTATAAATCAAATTAGAAACAGTTTTCCAGAGGTCAGTTGTGTGTGTTTTTTTTTTTTATTAGATATGCAGATGTGTGTACAAGTGTTCATTTTTTCTGGTAAGTTTGTTTTTAATAAATAATGATTATACAATAAGGGGTGTATTTTGGTTGATTTGACAGCTTTGATTGGTGGTCCGATGCTGTCACTCCACTTCTAGTCACTATTATGCAGAATCTGGTTGCAAAAAAGCAAGATGGCAGCAATCATGATATTTTGGCATCATTTTTGCATAGAGAGAAACAGTAACGCCCTGTCCATCATATACAGTATACTGTATGTCAGTGCACAAAAACAAAATCATCAAGCAACCAGGTCACAGAGTGACCACAGATTGAGATGCAGTTATAAATTAGTTTTATGCAGTGAAAGTGCTGTCTGCTCAAGGAAAGGATGTGTACATTTTCAAATAGTACAATATTCACAAGTCGTACTTTCACTTCTTCTCAGTGTGGTGTGTCTTGTTGAATAATGAAGAAACAGAAAGCAAGCATGTCAAGATAAGTCAGTTTCACAAGGGGTTTTAGTTCATATATTTTTTGCAAACTCTTCCCAGCTTCAATAATTATGTATAACTACAATAACAGTAATGCAGATGTATATATTACTTTGCACCTTGCAAATGTTTATTTAAAAAGGCAGCACTGATTTATTACTATCAAACAAGGAATACATATAACCACAGCACAACTGATATATCAGGTTTTTGAACATTATATATGGACTTATACTGGTATCAGTGGTACATATCTGTAATATGACTGTCAAATTAAATTTTTTGGTACGGTAGAAGTCAAAATTTTAAGCGTTCACTTCTTTATAAGGCAATAGCGCTTTGATAAAATGTAAAAGAGAGTAAATTTTATTCTCAAACATGCTTAGAAAAGCAGACCTGGGTAGATTTACGTTCTGAAGGTATCCTCTGTGTCTCATTGGAGTTGAAAATTGTTTTTCTCTGCTCTCCCAGCATAAAACCTTTGCTTTGATACTAGCCCACGCACGTACGTGATGTCACACGTCGTCCCACCCACATACTTCTGTAAACCACCTTGCATATAGAAGTATGGCGGCCCCAGCGACACAGTTACTAGTCGGCCAAAGTTTATTGCTCAGATTTTCACGTGAGAGCGATGAATAAGTGCGCGGACAGAGGGTTCGGCAACGAAGAGCTCGGCGACTGTAAACAGGGAAGTACCTGCAGAAAGAGACGTCGGTCTTCGCCCGGCGCATTTTCCTCGATTTCTCTTCGCCTCTTTGATTGAAGTGCCTTTAGTCCGGGTACCACAGGGGAAGAAACTCCGCAAGACGGGAAGAGTGGACACGGAAGTTTGAAACAAACCGTTTACTCTTGCTTTGGAAAGAGCAGTTGTAAAGTATTGCGCTGTGGTGGCCAGCGATGCTTTTGTGAGACATTAAGGTGTATTTGTCCTACGTTTATTGCCAGTGCGTTATCAGCGACTCAGCAAGAGCCAACTGTTGACTGCTCGATGTGCATTCCGGGTCTGGCGCTGCATACCACCAGCTAACGTTAGTTAGCCTCCATGGCTGCCTTCAACATGAGCTTGGGGTCGCCAGCTAATCAGCACTATCGTCGCTTCTATGGCCTTGTAAGTTCCTTTTCATCCTTGTCTTTACTTCATAACTTTGTGACTACGGAACGTGTGGTAGAGAGATCCCTTTTAACTTTGTGCTTATTACTTATTATTGTTTTTTAAACTGCTTTTACTAAAGAAAAAGTTCCCCTGGGACAGTGGGGTTAAGGATAACAGCAGCCTACTTAATACTGTGCTATTGTTTAGTAATCTTTTTGGTTGCAGTTTTGTATGGGCTCGGTGTAAATTAGTTTTACATGTAGAACTTTGTTGTTTTCTATCAACACACAGTTTCCTGATTATTGTGTGTGAGGTCTGCATTATACTGCAGTTGACAAATGTTGGCATGCCATTTAAAAACTTGATTGGCATTAAAAAGAGGAAACTCAGTGGGCGTGAGTCCTAGATATAACAGAGGGAAGTGGGGTTGTATACAAAAGGAAGAACGTGGGGGGTTGTGACAAGATAACTGAAGTTAGACAGTTTAAAGTCAAACAAACATATTTTGCAGTTTAAGATGTAGCCTAATTATTTGTCAGATGTCATACAAATGGGCTTGGATTAATTACTTCAACCTTGGGCTGCATGTTTAAGTCACCTCTGATTTATTGTGAGGATGTTGCTTGCTGTTTAGGTATGAATCATTTATGTCTGAGTGCAGTTTTTCAGTGTGTAAATATTATTTCACTGTTGAAGTACGGATCAGTGAGTTTTAATTGTTTTTCCCCCCCTTAGATTCCTGTGAAATGCCTTTCTTTGACCTCTGAAGTACTCAGGTTCCATTAATGCATGATAAACAGAGATATACTGGAGTAATACGGATTTGCATAGGTGACCCACATCCCCCATACTCCAGAAGAGGACAGACTGAACCAGGGAGAGGGGTTCCTGTTTTTTCCCAGTCCCCTCCTGGCGTGAGGGTGAACTATTGGACAGTTAGCAGCTGAGTCCAGCTTGGAGAGTCCCAGCTGCGGCCTGGCACCCTGCCCTTATGGGGCAGCAGCCGGGGAAGTTTGTAGGGGACCAGAGGAGACCCAGTCTGCCAGCCTTCATCAAGGGTGGAAAGAGAGAGTCATCACGCCATGGGGCCCAGCCTTGTAATGTTTTTGCTGTGCACGGTAAGAACAAATGTTTTGTATAAAACATTTGTAAGATCACTTATCAATAGCAGATTTATTAATGAGAATGCCTAGTTTTCTTTGTTTAATAAGAATATCAGGGGTGATCATTGGAGTCTTTGGAGTATCATGAGCTCTCACTGGTCTAGGATTAAATAATAAGAGACTTTTCTGTCTTGTGCTCCCCTTAGTCCGTCTGCCACTTCACTTTTTAGCAGTGTATATTACATTATTGGATAAGTATACTTGACTGACCATTGTGCCAACAGATTAAAAGTTGATTTTAGTTAGTGGAAGATACCATGCACACATAGAATCATAAGGATGTATAGACTAGGGTTGCAAAGGGGTGGAAAACCTCTGGTTAATTTTTGGAAACTTCCGTCACTTCCTTCAGTATCAATTCAGCGTGAAGTCAGGTTATTGATTTCTCCTTCCCTGGATGAGGAGCCATGCTCCAGATATCAAAATAAAAGATAACAAAAACTATGGGGTTGTACCTTTAGAACTTGTAATATATATTTAATTTACAATTTCCAAAACATCAGGAACATTGCTACTATGCAATATTATGTTGTTGACAGAGGAAAAGGTTTTGATGTAAGAAATTCTTCACTAGGAGTTTCAGCTTTATGCCATTATGGGATTGTCTGCTCACTGGTATTGATATTGATTTATGCAGAGATTTCCCAGCCACATGTTGTCACATAGAAACAAACACTGGCAGCTGTTGCCCATAATGAAAACACTGGTACATTATAGATAAATCCATGAGTGCAGCATCCTTAGTGTATTTCTATGGAGATAAAATACTATCAAAAATGTTACAAATGCGTGTTTAACGTTTTGTCTGTAACAAGCGATTTGTGTGTGTGTGTCATGAGGATCACAAATGCGTGCTGCGCAATCTGCACATATAAAGCCATTTGTGTGTGTGTGTGTGTGTCATGCTGTTCACAAATGCATGCTGTACAAACTGCACATAAAACACATTTTACAAATGCTTAAAATCGATTTTTTTGTGTGCAGTTTTTTAGAAAGTACGTACACATTGTTACCTACGCATGCGTGGATCGTCTAACACACGAATCACCTTCCGCGCACACACAGATTTTGGAGAGTGTTTTTCCGCTCTCTCAAAAATCCACGATCCACGAATGCACGGTGCGTTTAAGGAGACGTGGAAAACTCGGACATCTGAGATTCCAAACCTGTTTCCAAACAAATGTATTTCAACAACACTATTCCAAATG